ACGTCATTTGAGATTTGAGTTCTTGCAGTAGCCACTGCGGCTTTGGACGACTTTAGAGATCCTGATGAAGTAATATTGATCCAGCCTTAGCAAGCAGAAAAGCTTCATGGCCTGGAGGTGGACGACATATGAGAAAGTGGTCTCGAAGGTGCTAGTCTTCAATACGTTGCACCAGGTTGAGTATGAAGGATTCAATATGATCTCTTTTCAGTGTGGCCGCTATGGACATCGTCAAGAGGATTGCCCCTATGTTAGATGTTAGAGAGGTGGTTGAGAAGAAGGAAATGATGGAAGCAAGCACGGAAGCCTTTCCGGTACAAGTTGTATCGCAGAACAGGGGCGATACGAGTTGGCCTCAGGAGACAAACCTCTCAACGAATTGTGCTCGCTAGCCTACTCGCGCTCCTTGGCCGGGTTCCTTATCGGATTGTGCCATCGCTGCCCTAGTGAATTCTTAGAGGACGCTAGAGGTTAAAGTCAATGCTTGAACCTGGGCTTTCCTCATTAGTGCTCGCTTTGTAGGCTCATCTAAGTTTAGAGGTTGATAGCGTGCCTTTTATCGCGACTTTTGCCCCACAGATGTGTAAACACAGACGGGTTGGTCTCACCTCGCCTTATTTAGCACTTTTCTCACTTCCTCGGTAGGCGCTACCAGCAACTCTACAGCCTAAGGTGAAAGAACCCCTTTTAAAGCGGATATTACTTTGTTCCAACATCGTCTAATGCCTTTAGCTCCCCTTTCTTCTCGGCAAAAGCTTTTTCTGTTGCCGCTCTTCTCTCTTTTAAAGCAAAGAAAGAAGTGACTTGTTCAGCTCTTCTTGTTTACGACTCTACTGCTATTGATTAATCCGCTGGGATTTCCATGCTTGACTTGCTTTAAAAGCCTTTCTAGGCTAACTCTTCACTAAGTCCCAACAAGGGCAAGCGAAGGTTCGAGCTCGACCACCGGGACTAGGTCAGACTAGCAGTTAGTTGAGTCAGCTACCCTTTTCGGGACTAGCATTTCTGCTACGCAGCTTAGGTTTGTCAATGACATTCTTGCTGCTTAGCTCACTTTCAGTGACCCGGGAATGAGTGCCCCTTTCAGCGCGGAGGCACATCCGGAACAGGTTGAGAGATAAGCTTTTATCGGTGTAAAGGTCTGCAAACAAGAGTTGGACAGCTTGACCCGCATTGCTTTATTGACTATACTATAGAGGCTCGAGTAAGAGAGGAGAGAAGTTCCCTGTATGCTTCACACATGAAGTCTGTCTTCTCCCTCTTCTCCCTTACGTGATAGGGCTCTAAAAAGCCAAGTGCTTTCTTTACCGGCACACAAACTATATATCACGACCCAACCTTGTGAACAAACTCGACTTCTTTTCTTTTATGAGGATTAGAGAATATCGGTTCTTGGCCCAAGGGTATTCCTAATTGCGGAGATGACCTATATGATGTGGAGGGGATATGATTGGAAGCTTTTCCAAGAGACAAGGAGACATACGGAATACCAGACAATGAGATGTACCGGGGCTACAAAAGGAAGAATAGAGCATATTAGGATATGGATCGGGTTTCCCCACTACTGAATCTTAAGGTTTTTGCTTGGCCTAAAATGTTGTTATGTGCATTTTTCCCTTTTTCCGTTGGTGTCATCCTCACTCGTAAATGATTGGTGTCAGAATTCTCATTTTTCACACTGATTTCCTATTTTCTTTTCTTTTTTGAATTTCATTATCCGTGTAAGAATTAGGAATTCCTTTTCCAACTCGTCCCATAATGGGCGTTATGGCAAAAAAGCAAAAGAAAAGAAAAGGAGAAATTTGTCCAATAGTAACAAATGGTGCCTCCACAGGTTGACACCCGATCCAACCTAGTAGTAAGCGATCCGCCAAAAGTAACCAAAATATTCCTTGGTGAATCGGGCGAAAACTTGAACTACGTACATACATATTTTTAAAAAACGGTAAAGCCAACAGACATATAAAAACTGGTGCTATTGCGGCTACACCCCCCGATTTGTCAGGTATACTACGAAGAATGGCATGGATCGGTAGGAAATACCATTCCGGCACAATATGAGGCGGGGTGGACATCGGATTAGCAGGTATATAATTGTCGGGATGCCCCAAAACATTAGGAGCATAAAAAATCCAAATGGAAAAAAAGATAGCAAAAGCTACCCAACCTACTAGATCCTTTACATAAAAATAAGGGTAAAAAGCTATTTTATCCATCTCAGAATGTACACCCAATGGATTATTTGATCCATATTGATGCAATGCGGCCAGATGAAGAAGACTGGCGCCTACTAAAATAAAGGGGAGTAAATGATGAAGACTAAAAAAACGATTTAAGGTGGCATTGTCCACGGAGAACCCACCCCAAAGCCAGGTTACTATGGTATCTCCTACTACAGGTATGGCGCTAGCTAAGCTTGTAATTACTGTAGCTCCCCAAAAACTCATCTGACCCCAAGGTAGTACATATCCTATAAAAGCTGTCACAATCATTAATAGGAAGATTACAACTCCGAGACACCGAACAAATTCCCTAGGACTGCTATAACTCGCATGATATAGACCACGAAAAATATGAAGGTGAACCACAATGAAAAACATACTTGCCCCATTAGCATGCATATAACGGAGCAACCAGCCCCCCGAAACATCTCTCATAATGTGTTCTACGCTGTTGAAAGCTAGATCCACATGAGGTGTGTAATGCATAGCTAAAAAAACGCCAGTCACTATCTGAATGACTAAACAAATACCAGCTAACGAACCGAACCCCCACCAATAACTAAGATTGCTCGGGGTTGGATAATCTATCAAATGCTGATTAAGTGTGGAGGATATAGGTTGTTTAAGAAGAGAGAATCGTTGGTTCCTTAGAGTCATTTCTTTTTTTCTCGTGACCACTCTTGCTTTTTGGCATTCTGGGGCCCTACTATATAGAAAGAGAAATTGTCCGTACCCTTTCTTCCACCTCCGAAGGGGTATAGAGCGAAAGAAGCGTCGAAGGGGTCGGGTCATCCTGGTTTAACAGAAGAGCATTTTTTTGAGCTAGATTTAGAGGAATTTGGTTCAGACTAAGAAGGTTGATTCGGTAAGTCCACCTTGGGCTATCCTTTTTGCGATTACTTGCTGGAAATTGTGGATTTGGAGGAACCGACGTACCTACCTTCCAAGGGCGGAGTTTCCAACCGAGACTTGCTAGCAGGTGGCTACGCGAGTTTGCTATGTTTGAAGATGACGCTTGGAGCAAGTTTAGGAGCTTGCAATATCCTGGTAGAAACTATCATTGGCGCCTAGTTAGGTGGTATCCGGGTTTTCTCAAAATTCATGTTGATGGGAGTGCGGGTTATCTTGCTGCAGGAGGGGTTCTACGTGATAGTATTGGTCAATGGATTTACGGGTTTACAGCTAATGTTGGTTTTGGCACCATCCTTACGCTGTGTTAGTTCCGGCATGCCGGGCTCTTATGCCGTATTTTCAGGAGTGTATTGTCCATCAACATTTTCGGGAATCTAATCAGGTTGCAGATGGTCTAGCCCATAGCCCATATGGGACATGATATTCCGTTTGGTATGCAAGAGTTTACATCACCGCCATCGGAAGTTTACTATAGATTGCTTTTTGATTATGTTGGTGGCTCTGTAGGCCGTAGAGTGGTTACTTTTGATTGATTGTATTGGGTTTGAACCCCCCTTGGAAGCAAAAAAAAGAAACCAATTTGACCAGTACTGGTGTCTTGCTAGTGAACTTACAGAGCGAGCTGTAAAGGGGACTTTCTTGACTTGGCAAAAGCAAGCGTCTGATCAGATCTATCAAGAGATAGTGGTTCGGCCAAACCTCTTTTTCCTAAGCAAGGACGGAGCTGCTGTCGAGTGCTTTGATCGAGCTGCCAAGGTCCATCATGTTGCTAGGTATAAGCCAGTTAATAAAGACGAGTCGGAAGGGCTAAATAGTGCTTTGGGGTACGTAAACTAGGACAGATCACATGGTTTTTTTGTACTGGTCCGCTTTGAGCTGTCGAGTAAGGATTGCTCTATCTCAACATTCTATCTCAACATAAAGGGGCTTTGGAACCCAAGCTTACCTTATTATGTTATGTTGAAAAGGGGAAGGTTTGAGAAAGGGTAGTAGGTTTAGGTCTCTGCTCGCCTTGGAAGATTATTCTTTCCTCCTCGGTGAAAGAGGGCTTCGGTGTGCGGGAGAAAGAATTCGAAAAGGAGATAATTTCATAAAGTCACTCTCTCCAACCTTTTCTATCTATCTTTAGAAGTAGGGCGAGAGAAAGTCAATATGATATTTGTATTTGCGTTGGTTTTTCCAACGGAAACGTTGCACTTTTTTCTTTCTCATTCGGAAGGCTCAGTCCCACACTCTGACTTCAATGATGGGAACAACCTCCGCACTCCGGCGCTTCAATGAACAAGAGTTCTCCGCCTTACTCTATTTAGAATAGTGGTCGATACCTCGGGAGGGAGTTACATTCGTAACAACATGTTATGTTCACGCGGTGATATTCTCTCTTTCCAAGAGTACTACCCGAGCGCTCGTTATTATTTATTTAAACTAAAGCTGGGGAGCATATTTGACAGGAGATAGACACAGGCTATCGAGAGGTCCCCCACTTCGATTCCCGACCTGTTAGCATCTCCGATCCGAGATCAGGGGATTACGTAGTTAGGTCTTTTCGGTCCGAAGCCGGCCGGTAATGGACCTACTTACCTTGCTTGTAGACTAACTGCTACGCTAACCCTTTTCTTGGTGGTTGCTACCAAGACGATTTCTTTATGCCCATCAAAGGACCTCGAGATGCTAATCCACGAAAAACGATACGAGAAATTCTAAAGAACTTATATACGGAACGAGGGCGACCCGTGGAAATACATCGGTTTCTTACTCGTGCAAAGGAACTATTTCTTGGCAACTTGGACAACTTATAACGATGTTTGTCCCGCATATCACTAGGAAGATTGGGATCTTTACAAAAGGCTTTATAAAGCTTTCGTCTCAATTCATATTTAGCCGCGAGCAATCTACGTTTGTGATCTCGTATATTTCGCTTCTCCGACATCGAATTCGATCTCTAATGTTAAAACCCTCATCTTTTTGCAAAAAGCCGCTCCACGGTGGTAAAGTCTCATCTTGTGTGTTGGACGAAGTGACAATAGTCACATTGAACCCTCGAATATGTTCGAAGATCTCGAAATGATCTTCCAGTTCTGGGGAGAATTCGCAAAACTCCGTTTCCATCGAGAATTGAATAGAGTTTTCCCGTATTTCGACCGGAGAATCTAATAGAGACATTACTGTGGAGATTCTGACTAAAAAATTAGACATTCCATGCCCTCGGAGAGTGCTTTGTCGCGCTAGGTCACTGACATATCCTTTTTTTCGTTTTTTCTCTTTATTTGACCCTGGATTGGATCGAAATGACTTTCCTGTCGAAGACCTTTCTGTCTGTATGAATTTCTGACCGCACGGAATCTCCATAGCCAATTTTCCATTTTTGATAGAAGGTGCTGCCTTTGGTACTACTCTTATTTTACACAATCCAGGAACTTCCATAACGTTGGCGTGATTCAGTTTGAGCAACGGATCCTGACGTGATACATCTTCGTAATGAAAATAGAGTGGAAACATGAGTTGGCCTTTCAAGTATCTATAGAATAAGCACTGTGAACTATCGCCTTCAAAAAGATAGCTTCACCTCTTTCTTCGATCAGAATACGAATGAGATCAAAAAGGAAAGGAATAAAAAAAAGTTTCTCTATGCCCGGGGGCATAGGTTATCAAATTGAGCAAGTTCTCCAGATCTTCGAATACCCAACTACGAGGTCCACATAACATGACATCATAGTAGGCATCCGTGAGAAAGCCTGGGGACATCCCGTCGCCCCCAATCACTGTGCGAACAAGGTCCGGCAGAGGAAGAGTGAAGAGTTACGGGGGGGGGGATTTCTTTCCCTTCCTTAAAAGGAGCAAGTGCATTTATATCTCTAATTCTAATAAAGGGTACAAATTTGCGTAAATAGGTCATTTACAGAGGGCGCAGCGCTTGCCGCGTCCGATATAGTTGACGAAATGCTATCGCTGCTACTGGTGGAAGGAAAAGAAAAGGAATTTCGCGCGGAGTCCATAAAGGTTCGATCACTGGGGGTGGGATCCCCATAATAAATTCGGAGTTCTTGTTGTCGCCCCGGCATGATTTGAAGTTCGAAAATCCAATCCAATTCCCTCCAAATCAACTTAACGAAGTCAAGCTATATATATAGAGTATAGATAGAGTCTAGTTCAGAACGAAAAGAGAGTTCTTTCTATTTTCCTTGGTTTTAGACTTTGATCTAGGGGATCTAGGGGATCTAGGGGATCTAGGGGATCTAGGGGATCTAGGGGGAAGAATGAGAATTTACGGAACACAAACCCAACCTCGGATGCTATTTCAACACAAGATCGTGGACACTCTTGCTTGAGAACAGCGCTTGATCACGCCTAAAAGTCTCATTCTTCTCTTACGAGATTTCCAGTTTCCTGAAAAGATCGCTCCTAAAAGAAACCGCTCTCAACTAGAAGATACCGCCAAAGCAAAGGAAGAAGGAATGAATGTCCGAACAAGACCCTAAAAGCCGCTCCTGCGACCCAGGAGTGAATTCTTCTCCTAAGCGCAGGTCTAGCTCCCCATGGAGCTCATTCCTGTTCTCATCCATCCCGCTTTGTGTTGGTAAATATTTAGTACGTGGAAGTCTTTCCCTCGTTCATGGGAGATGTAGCATAGATAGAAAGAGAGCATTCGGTAGGGCTCGATTCAGACTTGCTCAGGTCACACTCTCTTTGTCTGTTGCTGCTAAGATTTGACTCCTTTTTATGGAACCCGGGGCCGTAACTGAGGAGAATGCTACTCTAGCTCTCCTTACTAGATCAAATAAGGCACCTACGAACCGCTAAAGAGAGTTTGTCTTTCCTTTAAGCGGGACTTTTTTTTCTCTCGTCTCGGCTTCTTCAACGACTCTTTCCGAAAGTCCTATGTTGTAAGGAATGGAAAAATCGCTAAAGCCAGCTATTTGGAAAGCAAGATGGTTTCGAATACAGACCGGATTAATGCTCTTGAAGAGCGGCTTAAGCCATTAGGTGTAGGCGCTTTCCAGAGGCGGAATCTTCTAGTTCTTCCTATTTGACCCGAAACCGATCGATCTATCCCTAACTATGGATCGAGCTGGGGTAGGCAAAAGCTTAATTAATGTCAATCAGAGAGATGAAAGAAAGCAAAGGATTCGAGGCTTTTATCTTCTATATAGTATCTAGAAAGGGAACGGCTGCTTTTATGAGTTTCCCTCTCCGGTGGTGATCTCACTTTCGAAAGAGAGTTTCTTAGCGGCAGTCTACATTAGGCTCCGATAGCGATTTAAGCAGTAGTTAGGAATATCACTCAACGAAATTCTACCATCTATCTGTCCTCTGGGGCTGCTTTTATTAGCTCATATATAAAGGATCCGTCTAGTTCCGTATTCACTGCCAAAGTCTAGGGAGCAAAGAATAGAGAATAATGAGACCAATACAATTAGCCGGTCGCCCAAAGGTAAATGGAGGAAGGGAAGAATTAGTAGACTACTATAGGATTTCAAGCAGAGATAGGGGATCATTTAAAGTATCCGAAAGAGGTATTTACTGAATAAGCAAGTTCTCCGACAAAATGAATCTACGAACTGGAAGAGTCTTATTCATTCTCGGTCTCAGACTAGCAGCTATTAAATCGGTAGGACTCCGCTTGCAAAGTTTCTTTCCAAAAGGTGCCTCTACAAAGGATGCCTTCCTTCGTACAATTATTGCAAGCCCGAGGACGATTCTTCAAAGGCTTAGGCCACGAAGTTGTAAAGAGAACGGTTCGTGACTAGCTAGAGCTCGCATTATGAAATATCAAAATCAAGGCCTGCCTATTACTTTCTTGCCTACGTTCGAGGTTCGAGTTCTTGGCCCTTCCTTTGCATAGGCTAAAGAAGGAGCTAGCGCTCACTCCCTTAGAGCTTACCTTCTGCTGCCCTAGGGAAAATGCCCGGAAGCCTGCATTCATAGCTTCAGGGGAGAGGCAAGGTTTTGATTCATCTTCCGTCTTCAAAGAATACATAGCTTTAGTTTCACCAGTGGTAGCATAAAGATAGGTTTTTATTCCTTGGCTTAAGAGCAAGGGACTAGCAATAGAATTCAGAAGAGGTAAGGCGCTATGTAATTGCCCTCGCGGTGCTTAGACCTCTCCTTGCTCGGTCCTTTGATCATGCGTCTGAGATCCGGTAACTGTTATGAATGTGGAGGAGTGGGGCATTTTGCCGGGTTGGGAAAGCAAATACTGATTTTCCATTCGTACTCGTTCACTTTCAAAGGCGCCAGCCGTTGACTAGCCAACCAGAAAAGAAAGACATAACTAAAGAAGCCAAAGCGACGTACCTACCGAATTCCACGACTTCGCCAGCCAAGCATTATGTTCCAACTCCCACTCGAACTGGAAGAGGAGCCGCAAAACACAATACCATATAGTCAGAAAGGTCAACAGAATAAGGAACGAATAGAAAAAGTGACGGAACCTAGGTATCACGTTGCTCAGAGCAGTTCAGGGAGTAATTCAAAGGATAAAGAGAAAAGGGTAACGACCGAAGCCCCTTTAGAGATAGGGCGAGTCTTTCTAAGGAAACGATGGAGAAAGCCCAGACTTCATAAAAGGCGGTAGGTCTTATCTTAAGAAAGGACTAAGAAAGCAAGGCTCGTCAGTGAAAGCAGAAGACGAAGAAGACTCTCGGATGGCACTTGCTTTCCCAACTGTAACGGGATCTTATTCTTTTGAAAAGTTACCACCTCTTCTTCACTTCACATAAAACCATTCGTTCAGAGTCGACAACTGTAGCCCCTCCCCAATGCTCTTATTCCTACTTGCGGATTCTCTCCATCTAGGAAAGAAAGCCAACACAACATACAACATGTTGGCCCTTTCTTTCGGGCGATGATTCGATTCTTCAACGCTTGGCCATTCGATGTTGGTTCTTTCGATCGAGAAAGAGAACTCTTATTCATCCGGAAGTGACTGAACTAGCCTTTGGGCTTAAAAAAGTGCTGTCACACCGTCCCTCTTTGTATTTGTCGGCCTTACTAGCGCTACTGCTAATGTCGGCGTAAGGAGTGTGCTAGCACTATCAGTAGTAAAGACGAATGTTGAGATGAAGTCTACGTAACGACTCTTTACCCTCGATTCTTAGCATCTCAAAGAGACGATCTTCTGGCAAAGAGTTCAACATCTGAAACTCTATCTCTTGAAATGAATGCTATCTTGCTAAACCCCTTCCTTGCCTTATGCCATTTACCTTCTCAATCACAGTAAAGCGCGGTTTCATGCTCGCAAAGAGACCCGGCATTCATCTAAGCCTGAATTTCTGTAGGATTCTCTCGGCTACTTCCAACGTGGGTAGTGGGAGACCTGAACAACCTACTCCCTCCTTCTCGGATAGAGATGCTGGCCGACTCGCTTGGCTCGCCTATCTGAATCTCTCGAGCGACTTCCAACGCTTTCGCCTCTTGGGCGATTTGCTATCGGTGTCGCAGCTCTTCTTCTCTTCTATCTTTCTTTGAGATTCGGCTAAAGGGTGTGAGGGAATTGCTATCTGGGTGGAGTGTAATAGCCCCAAAGGGTCATGGGGAAGAAAACAAGAGGCCAAAGGCTTCTTGGCTAAGGAATTTAGAAAGACTAGCGCAGTAAAAGATACTCAGCACTCGCACTTCTATTTCTTCTCTTACGTCATTTGAGATTTGAGTTCTTGCAGTAGCCACTGCGGCTTTGGACGACTTTAGAGATCCTGATGAAGTAATATTGATCCAGCCTTAGCAAGCAGAAAAGCTTCATGGCCTGGAGGTGGACGACATATGAGAAAGTGGTCTCGAAGGTGCTAGTCTTCAATACGTTGCACCAGGTTGAGTATGAAGGATTCAATATGATCTCTTTTCAGTGTGGCCGCTATGGACATCGTCAAGAGGATTGCCCCTATGTTAGATGTTAGAGAGGTGGTTGAGAAGAAGGAAATGATGGAAGCAAGCACGGAAGCCTTTCCGGTACAAGTTGTATCGCAGAACAGGGGCGATACGAGTTGGCCTCAGGAGACAAACCTCTCAACGAATTGTGCTCGCTAGCCTACTCGCGCTCCTTGGCCGGGTTCCTTATCGGATTGTGCCATCGCTGCCCTAGTGAATTCTTAGAGGACGCTAGAGGTTAAAGTCAATGCTTGAACCTGGGCTTTCCTCATTAGTGCTCGCTTTGTAGGCTCATCTAAGTTTAGAGGTTGATAGCGTGCCTTTTATCGCGACTTTTGCCCCACAGATGTGTAAACACAGACGGGTTGGTCTCACCTCGCCTTATTTAGCACTTTTCTCACTTCCTCGGTAGGCGCTACCAGCAACTCTACAGCCTAAGGTGAAAGAACCCCTTTTAAAGCGGATATTACTTTGTTCCAACATCGTCTAATGCCTTTAGCTCCCCTTTCTTCTCGGCAAAAGCTTTTTCTGTTGCCGCTCTTCTCTCTTTTAAAGCAAAGAAAGAAGTGACTTGTTCAGCTCTTCTTGTTTACGACTCTACTGCTATTGATTAATCCGCTGGGATTTCCATGCTTGACTTGCTTTAAAAGCCTTTCTAGGCTAACTCTTCACTAAGTCCCAACAAGGGCAAGCGAAGGTTCGAGCTCGACCACCGGGACTAGGTCAGACTAGCAGTTAGTTGAGTCAGCTACCCTTTTCGGGACTAGCATTTCTGCTACGCAGCTTAGGTTTGTCAATGACATTCTTGCTGCTTAGCTCACTTTCAGTGACCCGGGAATGAGTGCCCCTTTCAGCGCGGAGGCACATCCGGAACAGGTTGAGAGATAAGCTTTTATCGGTGTAAAGGTCTGCAAACAAGAGTTGGACAGCTTGACCCGCATTGCTTTATTGACTATACTATAGAGGCTCGAGTAAGAGAGGAGAGAAGTTCCCTGTATGCTTCACACATGAAGTCTGTCTTCTCCCTCTTCTCCCTTACGTGATAGGGCTCTAAAAAGCCAAGTGCTTTCTTTACCGGCACACAAACTATATATCACGACCCAACCTTGTGAACAAACTCGACTTCTTTTCTTTTATGAGGATTAGAGAATATCGGTTCTTGGCCCAAGGGTATTCCTAATTGCGGAGATGACCTATATGATGTGGAGGGGATATGATTGGAAGCTTTTCCAAGAGACAAGGAGACATACGGAATACCAGACAATGAGATGTACCGGGGCTACAAAAGGAAGAATAGAGCATATTAGGATATGGATCGGGTTTCCCCACTACTGAATCTTAAGGTTTTTGCTTGGCCTAAAATGTTGTTATGTGCATTTTTCCCTTTTTCCGTTGGTGTCATCCTCACTCGTAAATGATTGGTGTCAGAATTCTCATTTTTCACACTGATTTCCTATTTTCTTTTCTTTTTTGAATTTCATTATCCGTGTAAGAATTAGGAATTCCTTTTCCAACTCGTCCCATAATGGGCGTTATGGCAAAAAAGCAAAAGAAAAGAAAAGGAGAAATTTGTCCAATAGTAACAAATGGTGCCTCCACAGGTTGACACCCGATCCAACCTAGTAGTAAGCGATCCGCCAAAAGTAACCAAAATATTCCTTGGTGAATCGGGCGAAAACTTGAACTACGTACATACATATTTTTAAAAAACGGTAAAGCCAACAGACATATAAAAACTGGTGCTATTGCGGCTACACCCCCCGATTTGTCAGGTATACTACGAAGAATGGCATGGATCGGTAGGAAATACCATTCCGGCACAATATGAGGCGGGGTGGACATCGGATTAGCAGGTATATAATTGTCGGGATGCCCCAAAACATTAGGAGCATAAAAAATCCAAATGGAAAAAAAGATAGCAAAAGCTACCCAACCTACTAGATCCTTTACATAAAAATAAGGGTAAAAAGCTATTTTATCCATCTCAGAATGTACACCCAATGGATTATTTGATCCATATTGATGCAATGCGGCCAGATGAAGAAGACTGGCGCCTACTAAAATAAAGGGGAGTAAATGATGAAGACTAAAAAAACGATTTAAGGTGGCATTGTCCACGGAGAACCCACCCCAAAGCCAGGTTACTATGGTATCTCCTACTACAGGTATGGCGCTAGCTAAGCTTGTAATTACTGTAGCTCCCCAAAAACTCATCTGACCCCAAGGTAGTACATATCCTATAAAAGCTGTCACAATCATTAATAGGAAGATTACAACTCCGAGACACCGAACAAATTCCCTAGGACTGCTATAACTCGCATGATATAGACCACGAAAAATATGAAGGTGAACCACAATGAAAAACATACTTGCCCCATTAGCATGCATATAACGGAGCAACCAGCCCCCCGAAACATCTCTCATAATGTGTTCTACGCTGTTGAAAGCTAGATCCACATGAGGTGTGTAATGCATAGCTAAAAAAACGCCAGTCACTATCTGAATGACTAAACAAATACCAGCTAACGAACCGAACCCCCACCAATAACTAAGATTGCTCGGGGTTGGATAATCTATCAAATGCTGATTAAGTGTGGAGGATATAGGTTGTTTAAGAAGAGAGAATCGTTGGTTCCTTAGAGTCATTTCTTTTTTTCTCGTGACCACTCTTGCTTTTTGGCATTCTGGGGCCCTACTATATAGAAAGAGAAATTGTCCGTACCCTTTCTTCCACCTCCGAAGGGGTATAGAGCGAAAGAAGCGTCGAAGGGGTCGGGTCATCCTGGTTTAACAGAAGAGCATTTTTTTGAGCTAGATTTAGAGGAATTTGGTTCAGACTAAGAAGGTTGATTCGGTAAGTCCACCTTGGGCTATCCTTTTTGCGATTACTTGCTGGAAATTGTGGATTTGGAGGAACCGACGTACCTACCTTCCAAGGGCGGAGTTTCCAACCGAGACTTGCTAGCAGGTGGCTACGCGAGTTTGCTATGTTTGAAGATGACGCTTGGAGCAAGTTTAGGAGCTTGCAATATCCTGGTAGAAACTATCATTGGCGCCTAGTTAGGTGGTATCCGGGTTTTCTCAAAATTCATGTTGATGGGAGTGCGGGTTATCTTGCTGCAGGAGGGGTTCTACGTGATAGTATTGGTCAATGGATTTACGGGTTTACAGCTAATGTTGGTTTTGGCACCATCCTTACGCTGTGTTAGTTCCGGCATGCCGGGCTCTTATGCCGTATTTTCAGGAGTGTATTGTCCATCAACATTTTCGGGAATCTAATCAGGTTGCAGATGGTCTAGCCCATAGCCCATATGGGACATGATATTCCGTTTGGTATGCAAGAGTTTACATCACCGCCATCGGAAGTTTACTATAGATTGCTTTTTGATTATGTTGGTGGCTCTGTAGGCCGTAGAGTGGTTACTTTTGATTGATTGTATTGGGTTTGAACCCCCCTTGGAAGCAAAAAAAAGAAACCAATTTGACCAGTACTGGTGTCTTGCTAGTGAACTTACAGAGCGAGCTGTAAAGGGGACTTTCTTGACTTGGCAAAAGCAAGCGTCTGATCAGATCTATCAAGAGATAGTGGTTCGGCCAAACCTCTTTTTCCTAAGCAAGGACGGAGCTGCTGTCGAGTGCTTTGATCGAGCTGCCAAGGTCCATCATGTTGCTAGGTATAAGCCAGTTAATAAAGACGAGTCGGAAGGGCTAAATAGTGCTTTGGGGTACGTAAACTAGGACAGATCACATGGTTTTTTTGTACTGGTCCGCTTTGAGCTGTCGAGTAAGGATTGCTCTATCTCAACATTCTATCTCAACATAAAGGGGCTTTGGAACCCAAGCTTACCTTATTATGTTATGTTGAAAAGGGGAAGGTTTGAGAAAGGGTAGTAGGTTTAGGTCTCTGCTCGCCTTGGAAGATTATTCTTTCCTCCTCGGTGAAAGAGGGCTTCGGTGTGCGGGAGAAAGAATTCGAAAAGGAGATAATTTCATAAAGTCACTCTCTCCAACCTTTTCTATCTATCTTTAGAAGTAGGGCGAGAGAAAGTCAATATGATATTTGTATTTGCGTTGGTTTTTCCAACGGAAACGTTGCACTTTTTTCTTTCTCATTCGGAAGGCTCAGTCCCACACTCTGACTTCAATGATGGGAACAACCTCCGCACTCCGGCGCTTCAATGAACAAGAGTTCTCCGCCTTACTCTATTTAGAATAGTGGTCGATACCTCGGGAGGGAGTTACATTCGTAACAACATGTTATGTTCACGCGGTGATATTCTCTCTTTCCAAGAGTACTACCCGAGCGCTCGTTATTATTTATTTAAACTAAAGCTGGGGAGCATATTTGACAGGAGATAGACACAGGCTATCGAGAGGTCCCCCACTTCGATTCCCGACCTGTTAGCATCTCCGATCCGAGATCAGGGGATTACGTAGTTAGGTCTTTTCGGTCCGAAGCCGGCCGGTAATGGACCTACTTACCTTGCTTGTAGACTAACTGCTACGCTAACCCTTTTCTTGGTGGTTGCTACCAAGACGATTTCTTTATGCCCATCAAAGGACCTCGAGATGCTAATCCACGAAAAACGATACGAGAAATTCTAAAGAACTTATATACGGAACGAGGGCGACCCGTGGAAATACATCGGTTTCTTACTCGTGCAAAGGAACTATTTCTTGGCAACTTGGACAACTTATAACGATGTTTGTCCCGCATATCACTAGGAAGATTGGGATCTTTACAAAAGGCTTTATAAAGCTTTCGTCTCAATTCATATTTAGCCGCGAGCAATCTACGTTTGTGATCTCGTATATTTCGCTTCTCCGACATCGAATTCGATCTCTAATGTTAAAACCCTCATCTTTTTGCAAAAAGCCGCTCCACGGTGGTAAAGTCTCATCTTGTGTGTTGGACGAAGTGACAATAGTCACATTGAACCCTCGAATATGTTCGAAGATCTCGAAATGATCTTCCAGTTCTGGGGAGAATTCGCAAAACTCCGTTTCCATCGAGAATTGAATAGAGTTTTCCCGTATTTCGACCGGAGAATCTAATAGAGACATTACTGTGGAGATTCTGACTAAAAAATTAGACATTCCATGCCCTCGGAGAGTGCTTTGTCGCGCTAGGTCACTGACATATCCTTTTTTTCGTTTTTTCTCTTTATTTGACCCTGGATTGGATCGAAATGACTTTCCTGTCGAAGACCTTTCTGTCTGTATGAATTTCTGACCGCACGGAATCTCCATAGCCAATTTTCCATTTTTGATAGAAGGTGCTGCCTTTGGTACTACTCTTATTTTACACAATCCAGGAACTTCCATAACGTTGGCGTGATTCAGTTTGAGCAACGGATCCTGACGTGATACATCTTCGTAATGAAAATAGAGTGGAAACATGAGTTGGCCTTTCAAGTATCTATAGAATAAGCACTGTGAACTATCGCCTTCAAAAAGATAGCTTCACCTCTTTCTTCGATCAGAATACGAATGAGATCAAAAAGGAAAGGAATAAAAAAAAGTTTCTCTATGCCCCGGGGGCATAGGTTATCAAATTGAGCAAGTTCTCCAGATCTTCGAATACCCAACTACGAGGTCCACATAACATGACATCATAGTAGGCATCCGTGAGAAAGCCTGGGGACATCCCGTCGCCCCCAATCACTGTGCGAACAAGGTCCGGCAGAGGAAGAGTGAAGAGTTACGGGGGGGGGGATTTCTTTCCCTTCCTAAAAGGAGCAAGTGCATTTATATCTCTAATTCTAATAAAGGGTACAAATTTGCGTAAATAGGTCATTTACAGAGGGCGCAGCGCTTGCCGCGTCCGATATAGTTGACGAAATGCTATCGCTGCTACTGGTGGAAGGAAAAGAAAAGGAATTTCGCGCGGAGTCCATAAAGGTTCGATCACTGGGGGTGGGATCCCCATAATAAATTCGGAGTTCTTGTTGTCGCCCCGGCATGATTTGAAGTTCGAAAATCCAATCCAATTCCCTCCAAATCAACTTAACGAAGTCAAGCATATATATAGAGTATAGATAGAGTCTAGTTCAGAACGAAAAGAGAGTTCTTTCTATTTTCCTTGGTTTTAGACTTTGATCTAGGGGATCTAGGGGATCTAGGGGATCTAGGGGATCTAGGGGATCTAGGGGGAGAATGAGAATTTACGGAACACAAACCCAACCTCGGATGCTATTTCAACACAAGATCGTGGACACTCTTGCTTGAGAACAGCGCTTGATCACGCCTAAAAGTCTCATTCTTCTCTTACGAGATTTCCAGTTTCCTGAAAAGATCGCTCCTAAAGAAACCGCTCTCAACTAGAAGATACCGCCAAAGCAAAGGAAGAAGGAATGAATGTCCGAACAAGACCCTAAAAGCCGCTCCTGCGACCCAGGAGTGAATTCTTCTCCTAAGCGCAGGTCTAGCTCCCCATGGAGCTCATTCCTGTTCTCATCCATCCCGCTTTGTGTTGGTAAATATTTAGTACGTGGAAGTCTTTCCCTCGTTCATGGGAGATGTAGCATAGATAGAAAGAGAGCATTCGGTAGGGCTCGATTCAGACTTGCTCAGGTCACACTCTCTTTGTCTGTTGCTGCTAAGATTTGACTCCTTTTTATGGAACCCGGGGCCGTAACTGAGGAGAATGCTACTCTAGCTCTCCTTACTAGATCAAATAAGGCACCTACGAACCGCTAAAGAGAGTTTGTCTTTCCTTTAAGCGGGACTTTTTTTTCTCTCGTCTCGGCTTCTTCAACGACTCTTTCCGAAAGTCCTATGTTGTAAGGAATGAAAAATCGCTAAAGCCAGCTATTTGGAAAGCAAGATGGTTTCGAATACAGACCGGATTAATGCTCTTGAAGAGCGGCTTAAGCCATTAGGTGTAGGCGCTTTCCAGAGGCGGAATCTTCTAGTTCTTCCTATTTGACCCGAAACCGATCGATCTATCCCTAACTATGGATCGAGCTGGGGTAGGCAAAAGCTTAATTAATGTCAATCAGAGAGATGAAAGAAAGCAAAGGATTCGAGGCTTTTATCTTCTATATAGTATCTAGAAAGGGAACGGCTGCTTTTATGAGTTTCCCTCTCCGGTGGTGATCTCACTTTCGAAAGAGAGTTTCTTAGCGGCAGTCTACATTAGGCTCCGATAGCGATTTAAGCAGTAGTTAGGAATATCACTCAACGAAATTCTACCATCTATCTGTCCTCTGGGCTGCTTTTATTAGCTCATATATAAAGGATCCGTCTAGTTCCGTATTCACTGCCAAAGTCTAGGGAGCAAAGAATAGAGAATAATGAGACCAATACAATTAGCCGGTCGCCCAAGGTAAATGGAGGAAGGAAGAATTAGTAGACTACTATAGGATTTCAAGCAGAGATAGGGGATCATTTAAAGTATCCGAAAGAGGTATTTACTGAATAAGCAAGTTCTCCGACAAAATGAATCTACGACTGGAAGAGTCTTATTCATTCTCGGTCTCAGACTAGCAGCTATTAAATCGGTAGGACTCCGCTTGCAAAGTTTCTTTCCAAAAGGTGCCTCTACAAAGGATGCCTTCCTTCGTACAATTATTGCAAGCCCGAGGACGATTCTTCAAAGGCTTAGGCCACGAAGTTGTAAAGAGAACGGTTCGTGACTAGCTAGAGCTCGCATTATGAAATATCAAAATCAAGGCCTGCCTATTACTTTCTTGCCTACGTTCGAGGTTCGAGTTCTTGGCCCTTCCTTTGCATAGGCTAAAGAAGGAGCTAGCGCTCACTCCCTTAGAGCTTACCTTCTGCTGCCCTAGGGGAAAATGCCCGGAAGCCTGCATTCATAGCTTCAGGGGAGAGGCAAGGTTTTGATTCATCTTCCGTCTTCAAAGAATACATAGCTTTAGTTTCACCAGTGGTAGCATAAAGATAGGTTTTTATTCCTTGGCTAAGAGCAAGGGACTAGCAATAGAATTCAGAAGAGGTAAGGCGCTATGTAATTGCCCTCGCGGTGCTTAGACCTCTCCTTGCTCGGTCCTTTGATCATGCGTCTGAGATCCGGTAACTGTTATGAATGTGGAGGAGTGGGGCATTTTGCCGGGTTGGGAAAGCAAATACTGATTTTCCATTCGTACTCGTTCACTTTCAAAGGCGCCAGCCGTTGACTAGCCAACCAGAAAAAGAAAGACATAACTAAAGAAGCCAAAGCGACGTACCTACCGAATTCCACGACTTCGCCAGCCAAGCATTATGTTCCAACTCCCACTCGAACTGGAAGAGGAGCCGCAAAACACAATACCATATAGTCAGAAAGGTCAACAGAATAAGGAACGAATAGAAAAAGTGACGGAACCTAGGTATCACGTGCTCAGAGCAGTTCAGGGAGTAATTCAAAGGATAAAGAGAAAAGGGTAACGACCGAAGCCCCTTTAGAGATAGGGCGAGTCTTTCTAAGGAAACGATGGAGAAAGCCCAGACTTCATAAAGGCGGTAGGTCTTATCTTAAGAAAGGACTAAGAAAGCAAGGCTCGTCAGTGAAAGCAGAAGACGAAGAAGACTCTCGGATGGCACTTGCTTTCCCAACTGTAACGGATCTTATTCTTTTGAAAGTTACCACTCTTCTTCACTTCACTAAAACCATTCGTTCAGAGTCGACAACTGTAGCCCCTCCCCAATGCTCTTATTCCTACTTGCGGATTCTCTCCATCTAGGAAGAAAGCCAACACAACATACAACATGTTGGCCCTTTCTTTCGGGCGATGATTCGATTCTTCAACGCTTGGCCATTCGATGTTGGTTCTTTCGATCGAGAAAGAGAACTCTTATTCATCCGGAAGTGACTGAACTAGCCTTTGGGCTTAAAAAAGTGCTGACACACCGTCCCTCTTTGTATTTGTCGGCCTTACTAGCGCTACTGCTAATGTCGGCGTAAGGAGTGTGCTAGCACTATCAGTAGTAAAGACGAATGTTGAGATGAAGTCTACGTAACGACTCTTTACCCTCGATTCTTAGCATCTCAAAGAGACGATCTTCTGGCAAAGAGTTCAACATCTGAAACTCTATCTCTTGAAATGAATGCCTATCTGCTAACCCCTTCCTTGCCTTATGCCATTTACCTTCTCAATCACAGTAAAGCGCGTTTCATGCTCGCAAAGAGACCCGGCATTCATCTAAGCCTGAATTTCTGTAGGATTCTCTCGGCTACTTCCAACGTGGGTAGTGGGAGACCTGAACAACCTACTCCCTCCCTTCTCGGATAGAGATGCTGGCCGACTCGCTTGGCTCGCCTATCTGAATCTCTCGAGCGACTTCAACGCTTTCGCCTCTTGGGCGATTTGCTATCGGTTTTGTCGCAGCTCTTCTTCTCTTCTATCTCTTTGAGATTCGGCTAAAGGGTTGTGAGGGAATTGCTATCTGGGTGGTTGTAATAGCCCCAAAGGGTCATGGGGAAGAAAACAAGAGGCCAAAGGCTCTTGGCTAAGGAATTAGAAAAGACTAGCGCAGTAAAGATACTCAGCACTCGCACTTCTATTTCTTCTCTTACGTCATTGAGATTTGAGTTCTTGCAGTAGCCACTGCGGCTTGGACGACTTTAGAGATCCTGATGAAGTAATATTGATCCAGCCTAGCAAGCAGAAAAGCTCATGGCTGGGGTGGACGACATATGAGAAAGTGGTCTCGAAGGTGCTAGTCTTCAATACGTTGCACCAGGTTGAGTATGAAGGATTCAATATGATCTCTTTTCAGTGTGGCCGCTATGGCATCGTCAGAGGATTGCCCTATGTTAGATGTTAGAGAGGTGGTTGAGAAGAAGGAAATGATGGAAGCAAGCACGGAAGCCTTTCCGGTACAAGTTGTATCGCCGAACAGGGGCGATACGAGTTGGCCTCAGGAGACAAACCTCTCAACGAATTGTGCTCGCTAGCCTACTCGCGCTCCTTGGCCGGGTTCCTTATCGGATTGTGCCATCGCTGCCCTAGTGAATTCTTAGAGGACGCTAGAGGTTAAAGTCAATGCTTGAACCTGGGCTTTCCTCATTAGTGCTCGCTTTGTAGGCTCATCTAAGTTTAGAGGTTGATAGCGTGCCTTT